CGGCGGGGCCTGATGCTCGGGTCGCAGCTCGGGCCCGGGTAACGCACGCCCGTGTGCAGCCGTCCCGTCGTGCAGCGTGCAGCTTTCGCTTTTGAAGCGGCCGTCCCGGCCTTGTAAGCGAGGAGATTGGTGCGGTTTCTGTCTACCCGTGGGAGTGATGGTATTTCTGAGGGTCATGGTAGTATGCTTGTAGTTCTTGAGAAAAAAGGATTCTGTTTGATGCTGTGCTTTCTTACATCTGTCTCCCTCTTAGATCCAGAAACTCAGAGTTTAAAAGAACACCTCATTGATGAGCTAGATTACGTATTGGTTCCCACCGAAGCCTGGAATAAACTAGTAGCGTGGTATGGCTGCATAGATGGACAGCAGCCTATTGTGAGGAAAGTAAGTACGGGTGAACCAAGTTCTCTTTGGCCTGCTTTCATTATCTGATCTCTGCCAAACTTAGACAATGTTTATTTTGTTAAACGTGAGTTAAGACAGGATCCTCAGCAGCTCTTTGTAGATAATAACATGAGGTCTTTTTATGTTGTTGTCTGAAAGAATGATCTCTGAATATTACAGTTAAAATACCTGACTCTTAAGTGATTCTCAGTTGGTGGGTTATATGGGGTAAGAACCATGAACCTTGTTCTGGTTAGCTTTTTTTTACACCATGATTACTTGGACTGGTGCAGTGCTTTTATATTGCATGGAATAGATTGTGCTTTGTTGAAAAATGCAAGTTGTTAGTCAAGCTTATCGATCTTCTGGGACAGAATGAGGCGTTGGCATAAATTGTCTTTTAGTACACATGGCTTAGGGACTTCCTCTGGAGTTTAAGGTGGTTCTTGTTTTCTCTTCCAAAACTCCGTGATTCTAAAATCATGAGAAGAGACATATCTGTGGTTTTCTGTAAGTCTTACTTTTGTCTGGCAAAATGCACTCATGAACGCATTCTGAGTATATAACCTGTTCCAGAAGGTGAAATTCTCAAGTTGATTTTTTTAAAAATCTATCAGACACTTGTTCATGCTTACAAAGGTTTTGGTTTTTATTTTAGTCTTAGGTTTTTGCTCTAAGTTGAGCAGTGCCAGTCTATGGGGTTCCTAAAGACTAATCACTACATAAAGTGCTTAGTGTTGATATAGTGTTCGGAATTAATATTGCTTAAGTTTAAATAGCATTATGTTACAGCAAGGGTTGCTTCAAGGTGTGCGAGACCCAGGAAAGTGTGGCACCAGAATGGCGAAAGGAAGTAAGATCCCTCTCCTGCAGGCCCACTCGTACTGATTAGTGGTTGTCAATGTTGTCATTCAACGTGGGCTAGAAATTGTACATAATGAAAAATTCTGACATCTTTGGAAAGTGTAAAGTATCCCAGGTTCACGCTGCTTAGTAGACAGAACTCCTGTGTAAACCACAAGTAGGGGGAGTGGAAAAGAATTATAGCATATAAAGGGGGTGTGGTTTTAGTAGAAACAGATAATTTTTTGAGGAATAGAAAATCTATACTGAGAAGAAAAACGAGAACTATTTGTGATCGGTGCCTTTCTGAGTGAGGAAGCTTTTGTTCATGAACTGGCTAACTGCTTTCACTAAGACTGGCATGTTATTAGACACTCCCTTTTCTGAAAAACTCTGAAGTTGGGCAAGGGGTTTGGAAGCTATTGGGGGAAACACTTGAGTGACTGGCTTGACTGTGTGAGCCTCCTTTTCTTGGGGTATCAGATGCCACTGTTCAACACTGTAATTATTGAGGGCTAGAGCCTAGAGCTAGTACTGTTTTACAGACATAAGGTACCAAGTTATTGTGGTCTAGTTAAGAGTAAAATTTTCAAGTTCTGAATTGCTGTGAGAGTTTCAGCCTGTGTTGTTCGTTCTTAACCTGGTAATTGAAGTGGATTTTTATATTAAAAAAAAAAAAAAGAAATATAGCAGAATAGTAGGTTTGTGGAATGTTAACAGCCTCTTACAAAAAATATAAAGTGAAAGGTCAGTGGGACACACAAGCTGCAGCACTGCACCTGAGTAGAAAGTGATCAGAATCTGATTACAGTATTCTCCAGATAGCATTGGAAGTGAAGCATTTGAACTTGTGGTTCTTTAATCCTTTTCCTAAAGCTGGATCAACTGTAATTCATACATCAAAATATCCACAGAAGTAGGATTTGGAAAGTAATTTTCAGGCATCTTTGCAATTTTTCAAGCTGGTATTTCTTCCATCCATATGTGCCTGATGATCAGAGACAAGTACAGGAGGATTGGATTAGATTTATTTGTGGTTCAGTTTTCTTTTGATAATCTCAAATCATATTTTCAGTCAGTCTTCTGTAGAGTCCAGCTGTAAAGTATATTAATATGCAAAATACAGAACAGTGTGCTTCCTCAGCGGCTAAATGCGTGTTATGCTCAGATTGCTGTCCAACGGGATGACCCAGGTTTTACTTTGACAGAGAATAAGCTAGTTGGTCAGACGCTGTTTAAAAGACATCTGCAGGCAATTAGAGACTCTTCTTTGCCATTCATCTGTCCTAACGGACATGGTGATCTGATCAGAAACTCCTTGGAAAGAATTCTTCCATTCTGAATATGGTTCTTGTTTATTTGTTTCTAACTGTTTATTTATTCTGTATCCTGCAGAACAGGAAGTCCTGTTTAATGAAATTCCTTCTGAAAAAGAAATGAAGAACTTGTGAATTTGTTCCTTTGCATTCTTTTAAAGAAAAAAAAAGTCTTAATTTGCCTGTCAAGAAGCTGTTTAAGGAGGATGTTTTACTTTATGTTGCAGCAGCAGAATACTGAAGGTCTTTCTTACATTTAAGGCACCTTGCATATCTAATACAACCCTATAAAAGCTCAGAAGAGGGAAGCATAATTTAGCCAAATTCTCAGAATAAGTCTTAGTGTTATTTCTCTGTTTCTTTCCAAAGCTGGATAAAGTGTTTTTTTCTGTAAAATGATACAGGTGTAGATTATAGCAAGTCTGGTGTCACACAAATAGAATGGAATAGACTGTTTCACTTGGAAGGGACCTACAACAATCATCTAGTCCAACTGGCTGACCACTTTGAGGCTGACCGAAAGTTAAAGCAAATTAAGGGCATTGTCCAGATGCCTCTTAAACACAGTTACTTTTAAAAATTATACCTGCTGGTTCAATGAAATATGATCTGAATTTTATAGACTTCATAGCTGCAAAGAACTGTGGAGAGAACTGAACTGTGGTGTGGTTTTTTTTTTTTGCTTCTCCAGTTACATCATAGTTGTATCATAACTGGCCTCTGAAATGTGGCTTCTTTTTTTCTGGCATAGTGTTTTATGATCTGCAGGGGAAGAGCTGTGTCTGGTCTTACAGAGTACCTTTCTAAAAATATGCTGAAAGCTGGTGGGTTGAGTAGATGCACCTACTGGAGTATTCTCTCAAATGCAAAACTGATTTGAAAATGACTCTGAAATAAAGCAATGTCATCAAAACCAGTTCTGACATATTTGTCTGTTTTTGCAAGGAGTGAGTAATGAGGCAGATTCTGCATACCATGCAGAAAAATAATTAATGCTTTGTCTTACTCTCTTCTAATAAAAAGGATTTTGCTCTAGTGTTCCATCCTTGTTTCTCTTTTATGTAAACCCTAGCCAAAGACTAGAGGGAAAAGATAATTTTTTTTTCTAGAATGTTTTGACTGTGTGATCAAATATTTTTCATGGATAACTAGCTGGCCCTATCGGTTCAGCTGTGATAGACCTTTTGAACTTTGTACTGTAGAAGGAAAGCACTGGGATTTCTTAAGTTTTAAAAACAAAGCAAAACGCCCAAACAAGCTGACCGAGATTGTGACTGAATCTGGACTTGAGAGCAAGTCAGTCTTCAATTTATGGCTTGACTTGCAAGAGTCCTAAAGACTTAAAATATTGAGACAAATGTACCCTACAGAGTACAGCTCAGTATTTTAACTTAGTGTTATTTTGTTCATTGCATCTGCCTTCTCTTTGCAGGTTGTGGAATATGGTCTGTTTGTGAAGCACTATAAGGTTGAAGTTTATCTTCTTGAGCTGAAGCTGTGTGAGAGCAGTGATCCTGACAATGTCATTAGCTGCCACTTTAGCAAAGCAGATACTGTTGGTAAGTAGTTCTCTGATACATGAAGCTGTGCTCTGATGCTACTTCAAGACATATTTAGTGCCCTCCAGAACAATAACAATGTTGATAAACTGGAGCGAGTCTAGTGAGTACAAACAGGACAGTTGGGGTTGGAGCATGTGATGTGTGAGAAGAGGCAGAGGGAGGTGCACTTAACCTGGAGAAGAGAAGACTTTGGGGGGACCTCGTAGCACCTATGAGAAGGTGACTGAGAACATGGAGACAGGCTATTTACTGAGTCGCAAAGCAAGAAAACAACAAACAATAGTCATAAATTGAAACAAGACAGATTCCAACTGAGTATAACAAATATTTTCCCAATCGGGACATCTAGACATTTGAACAGGGCCCAGAGGGATGGGGGAATCTCCTTCCTTGCAAGTTTTGAACACCTGACTGGATAACCCCCAGGCAGTCTGGTCTGAATGCAGTGTTGACCCTGCTTTGAGTGGTTGGACTAGGAACCCCCCGAGTTCCTTCCAGCCTCAGTGATTCTGTGTGTGCCACAGGGATTTGTGGTTAAGAGCTTTGAGGAGCACATTGCTTGCTAACTCATGTCCTTAAGAAACATCCATGGCACTCATGTAAAGCAGTTCTGTTTCTGGTTCTCCGATTCCTTCTTCCTAGTGTATGAATATTTTAGTTACCTTCTTAATGGCTCTTCCTACACTTCTTCCTGAAATTTGCCCTCCACCCCTTTCTTTCTGTATCATTGCTATATTTTCCCCATGTAAAAATGCAGAGTGTCAGCTGTCATATATGTCCATAAAGATGCTTTTTTTCAGTTTGCTGAAAACACTTCTTTCTTGAACCTGTGTTTTCAAATGATGGCTGTTTCACAGAAGTTGGCCTTTGTGTTCTGATCATTATTGGTTTGAGGGCTTTACAGGCAAATACATGACTGAAAACAGAAGGTTTTTATTCTTTTAGACAAAATATTAGACAAATTATATGAGCAATTGTGACTTATATGATACACTCTCTACTCAAAGGATCTTGAAGGATCAGTGACACATCTTATTGCTGAATGTCTGTCTTGTCACTTTTTTTTCAAAAGCACTCATGTTTTAGGCATTTCGGTGTTTTTTTTCCCTCCTGAACAGCTACCATCGAGAAAGAAATGAGGAAACTATTTAGTATTGCAGCTGAGAAGGAAACTAGGTTATGGAACAGGTACATGAGTAACACTTATGAGCAGCTCAGCAAGCTGGATAGCACTGTGCAAGATGCAGGGCTCTATCAGGGTCAGGTAAGGGCATAACTTTTTTTTTTAGATTCTCTGCTTTCTGATATGTAATTTTTTTCACTTGCTTTTATGTACTTGGAACAAACATTGAAAATGTGATTTAATGATTTTGGAAAATGTGTAGTGGATTTGCAGTTATCTATCTTTATTACCTGAACTCTCTTTCAGGTTGTTCTAATAGAAGTGAAAAATGAAGATGGCACATGGCCTGGACAGCATTTCCTGGCAAAGTAAGCAAGCAAGCATGTTCTAATGGGTTCTGCTGCTTTGTCAAGCTTCTTCACTTGTTTTCAGTGACCATGTGTTCTCTGTGAAAGCCTAATTATTACTGACTATTGTGGATTTCTTTGTTTTGGGTATTTTGAAGGAGGAGACAAAATCTTGAATATAAATATTCTTCTGTGGTTCAGCTGCTGGTTTCTTGTCTTAGCAACAGTCTTCTGTTTTAAAGCCCGTTTCAAATAGGTTACCTAAGGATTAAGTAGTTTGAGTTTCAACAGTGCTTAGGAGAAAGTGCCATTTACATTGAGCTAGTCTACTTAAAAAGCTATCTCAGCAGGCTGCATAGTGAAAAAAAAAAAAAAAAAAATCTGTCTTCTACCACTGTGGAACAAAAAGGATCTTGAAGTGTATTTCCAAAACTGCCAATAGTGAGTAATTAGAGTTCTGGTACTTCCTCCTTAAAAAGGGTATAGAAATAACTTAACGACTCCCCCCTGCTGCCCAAGGCAATTAGAAGCCTGTAAATACTACACAGATTATCTCTCTAGTAACTATTTTAGAGAAGAAATGAATAAGAAGGGGGGATTGATGAAATATTGTATGTATAGAGTGAATGGTGTAGAATGGAAGTTGCTTGCAAATGGTAAAGAACTGCTCCTATCCAGTCATACTACTGAAAGTAAAACCCTGTGATTTTAATAGTCTGGCATACTTGCTTTTCCAGGAGTAGGCCAGCAGACTCAATATTGATAAAAAAAATGTTTATCTGTACAATACAGTTAAGTTGTAGAGCTTGCTGCCAAGCGATCTCATTTGAGATCAAGATCTTACTAGGGTTATACTTGAAGAATGGATCAAATAGGCCAGTGAAACCTGTTTTGAAACAATTCTGTACTTCTGAGATACAATACTGGGTAAATAGATCAGGAGAATGTTTATAGGATTATAGTGAACTTTCTGTAAGAATACAATGTGAAAAGCATCTAAACATTCATATCGTGTACATAATCAAGTACTAGTTGACAGTCAGTATTAGAGAGGCAGCCGTGCAAGACCAGATCATAACCTTTTGTTTCCATGTGAAGCAAAGCTAAAAAAGAGCCCTGTAGCATTCCCAGGCTTCAGTCTTTTATTTTTTTCAGCAGCTAGTCTGGTAGGTAAAGAGTTCTAATTAACCTCTAGTGATATTTGAATGAAAATGGTTATCAGTATGCAGATTAATATTTTCTAATGATGCAGAAATAAACATTTGCATATTATAATGTAGAACTTGTTAAATTGACTTGATGCTGATAATGGTGGCTGAAAGAATTGTAATAGGTCATACATCTAGGATTATCTGTTCCTTTTACTTTGGCTTGGCTAACTTTTCCTTTGCCCTTATCTCTTAAGAAACTAAGCGTGTATATTCCACATAATGTCTTCCTTATACAGTTGGGTGCATTGGTTTAGCAGGTTTTGCTCACTGGCTCTTTTGCCCTTATTTAGCCTTGTAGGTTAAATGCATAATAACTGTTTGTTCAAAAACACTGTTCGGGAAGCCAAAGAGGGGAAGAGGCGGGTGGACTGCCCCTCCTCTTCAGGATTGGCATTGGCGTGTGCTGATCAGCACACTAGCTGCTGATCAAAAGAGAAGGACCTTTTCATGTGGCCAGGACAAAAGCGCTCTCTCAGGAAGGCAGCATGCTTTAATGTCTTTGGGTTATAACGAGCCCCGCGGGACTAGCATTGTGCCTTCCTACGCCAAAGGTGGCTGTGTCATGTAAGGCAAGTCAGGTAGAAAGACTGGACTTTAAAATTCTTTCTGTGTTTGAAGTGGAAGGAGGAAAAAGTTGAGAACTTTTATTCTTTCATAAACATATGATAACAAAAGGTGATAATGAGAAGTAAGTATTTTCCTGTTGGGTTCAGTGATGTTTTCTATGCCATTTTATGTCTTTAAGCTACTAATGTTGTACAGCAGCTGCCTTGATAACTCCCAAAATGCATATGAATCGTATTCATACTGTTGAAAATAATGAGGGAGGCTGTACTGGATCTGGACCAGGTGTGTCCAGTAGCCTGCCTCATAGTGTGGGCAGTAGCAGATACATGTAGGAGGGGTTAAAAAGGCTCCCTGTAAGAAGAGGGCATAATTAGCAATGCATCTGCCATGGTGTACTGCTGTCTTCTGGTAGCCTGCAGCTCAGGCTTTATCCGAGATGACCGAGTCTAGATACTTGTGTTGAATGTATGTTGACGGTCTGCGGGGACTTTTCGTCTGCATTTTGGCGCCACCTCTGTTGCGTGTCATCACTCCCTGTCAAATGTGAGTGGGCTAGTGGCAGTCTAGACTGGATCATTTGTAGATCCTAAGTTTTCTTTCTGCTGTTCTTTCAAAGGTTATTTCACAAAGCTTTTTACCTATTTTTAAGAGGTTTGGATTTAAAAAAAGAAATAGTGAAGCTCTTTTGTTGTTGTTGTTACACAGTATATTCTCAGTGAATAAGCTAAATTTAACCTTTCTTGAATCATTTGGTGTTGCTCCATATTAATGCATTTATAATTGCCCCATGCTTTCCTTTCCCATCAGTCATAATCAGTTCTGAAGTTTATTTGGTTTCCTTCCCTTTTTTAGGATATCTTCACATAAATGCATAAATACTTAATTTATGTAATTTATTTGATGTTTGAATATTCTCCAGCTAGTTCTCATGTTTTATTGAGAATCCTTAATTTTTTCAAGATGTTCTTTTATTAAGGGTAGTTTCATATTTCATTTAGTTTTGAATACACTGTCTAAATTCCATATCCCTGTGAAGTTGAAATCTAGGAAAGCACAGTACAAAGATTTCTTCTCAATCTCAGGTTGAGTCTTTTACATAAGTTCATCTTGGAGCAGCATGTTTTTTTTTTTTCCCTTGGAGAGCAGTAATTTCATAAATAAAATAATTAATAAAGCTTTTCTATAGAATTAAAAAAATTAGCTGCTTGTTTAACTGTGTTCTTCTATTGGCCAGATATCTCATCAGGCAAACCGCAAGTGAAAGCATACTTTGAGTGTGTTCTGAGTTGATATTTTAACATTTGTTTTCTTTTGTTCTGGAAACATTAGAAATCTGTACTGCAACGAAAGGTTGTCAGCATTTTAACTGCTTCTGTGAGCTGGTGAAAGACTTGCTAACCTGGAGTGTAGGGTTCAAATCTCATTAATGGGTTGGGACGTGGTTTGTCTTCCCATGGGCGTGTTTGTGCATATACATGTTGCATTAAATATGACATGTTTAAGACTCCAGATTAATGAGTTTAGTGCAAAGTCATAGGGACTGTTTATATGTGTGAAATCCTTGGGTGATGGTGAGCAATTGAACGGAACAGAACTGGTGGGAGAGGAAGAAGGAGAGTAGCCAGCGAGAAGATACAGAGTTCCCAGCCCAGAAGAGTATGAGTGTCTTATCCTGTGCACTGATAAAGTTTTCAGGGTAGGTTACACTGTATTGATTCTACAGAAAGTAGAATTAATAAACCTCTGTAAAGAGGTTCTTTGATGCTAGAATTTTCTTGCTGTTTCATCTTCCTGCTCTTCTATTTACTGATGGTACTGTATACTTGGTGGACTCACCCCCTACTCAGTGTTCTCAGTAAAAACGTTGAGGACTTGTTGCTTGGTTCACCCATCTTGTAACACATGTGGCTTTTCTCAACTACTCTGTCTTGATCTGTTCAACCTGATAGAACATTCACTGATAGTACATGCCAGAAATTACTGTACAACTTTTAAGACCTCGGTGGTTGATATGTATTTCGTATGTACATAGTACCATCATTAAATGTCCTTTCATACTTAAAGCTGATCTCCTTCCCCCAGTTCCTTGTGTACTGATGATTTTAGAGGACCCCATCAGCAGCTGGGCTAAATATTTTGTGGGCAGATCTTTATTACATGACTTTCAAGTGCTTGAGTTTGCAGTGGATGCCATGCTTTCAGAGTAGTATTGAGTTTGTAAGATAAGTTAAGGAGGCTTTTGCATGTAAGAACTTTCTAAATGAAAATCCATTATGGCCTCTGCTTTGCCAATTAAATATAAGTTCTAGCTTTTCCCGCTTCGACAAAAACATTTTGTCACAATATTTTTAAGGGTTTGTTTTTCTTTTGTTTTTTAATATTGGTAGTTTAAAGGAGGAAGTCTAATTCTACTGTATGCTCTAAAAGTAGCCTCAACTAAGTTGAAATACTTTTTCTATCTCTATCTTCCAACCACTTGGAAGCCTTTTAAAATATTTTTTTCAAGCTGTTCAGCTTAGCAGTTTTTCTGCTTAGCAACCATATGGCCTCACAGTTTCTGTACTAGATTAATCTAACTTTGTCCTCTTCATGCTGCTAGTTTCCAGATTTCTCCTCACTTGCCATTTGTGTGGGTTTTTGACAGGTTGCATGGCAAGATGTGAAACGTCTGTCTTTAATTGGCAGACTAGGGGCAATGTGCATCAGTATTGTGAAGCATGAAGTTGTGTATGTGGAGATGAAGAACATGAGCCCGAAATACATACTGGACTCTGGGGGAATGGGATTCCAGTCCTGGTCCAGTCTCCTGAATGTGAGCTCCTGTAGCAGCCTTGAGGCAAAAACAAACAAATAACCTCAGTGGTTCAGTAGGGAAATGTTAAGTGTGTACCAGAAGACTTTTTGGTAACGGGCACACTGATAAAACTGCATGTGGAATGATCGTGTCCTTGTGAGGTTGTCAACAAATTTGAAAAGTGGACTAATGGGAGATTTCAGAAGGAGCCAAGTGAGTTGTTGAAGAATTAGCAAGTAATTTTTGTGCTAGAAGACTTAGAAGTACTATATCAGTGAGAAATTTAAAAGGTAATTTTAACACTTAAAAGCTTCTGTGGGATGTGAGAAAGGGAAACTGAAGAAGAAACTCTACAAGCAGCAGGTGGAGATGAGCACAAACCAATGTCCAGATGATGAAGCCAGATACTCATGCTGCAAATGAAATGCAAATTTCTTCTGACTGTAAGGGTTATTGATCATTTTAACAGCTTATCTGTAGTCTGCTGGATTGGCTATTGCTGGCCACTATGAAACCATGATGGTAGATTTTTCTAGAAGAGGTATTTTAGCTCAGACAGGAATTATCTTGAGGGACTTAAATTGCATTTAAGCAGGAGGACTGATTCAGCAGTCATACCATGCAGCCTAATCCTCAAACCTGTAAATTATTTTCTCAAATCCCTGAACTGTTGCATGGTTAGATGAAGTCTATCTTTGCTATAGTTTACTCCTGTATAGATTTTGTTGAGAAATGTAACTGAATATGTTTATCCCTGTCAGAAACATTGCAGTAGTGATTTCCTACAAAGAGCAAACTAAGCAAACAGAGTAGTTTCAGTGGTAACTCCATGAGTACCCCAGAACACTTTATAAGGTTCTAAGTCATGAACTTTAAAGAAGAAATTATGTTTATCTCTTACTTCAGAGCAAGGTTTTGGGGCCTCTATTTCCAAGGGAGCAGAAGTTGCATACTGTGGGAGACAGCAGTGGAGGGGACAGAAGGCTTTGACAGGTCAAAGTCTTGCATTTCCACAGAAACCATTTTTTGGGCATTGGGAATGAATGCTTGGCATCCAGGACTTCAGTTGTCACCTCTGTGTGTAAATTAGACAGTCTCCTTGAGAGCCTACTGTATTGTGGGGTCACTAACAGTAGCTTCCTCTCCTTGAATGCTTAAAAAGGGAAGCTTTCAGAGAAAAACGTTTTTCTTAGCTGCTGTCTCTGCCTTTCACCTGGAACCATAGCTACCTTTGTGACCATCTTGTGAAATCAGGGGGAGCAGCTGTATTTAGTAAATCCTCAATCTTTCTTCAGTTGTTACAGATGGATGAGTAACTTGTAAAATGTAAGAATGCTTAGAATTTCTTCCCAGGTGCATTTGATTTCTCTTCCTCCCACCCCCTCTGCCCCACTTGGAAAGCTGTTGGCCTCTCTTTTGTTGTTTTACTACTTACATGATGCTTTCCAATTTTCTAACAGGAATTCACTCAAGATCCTTGATGACTTTGTAGGTAGACCTTACCTCATGCTGACTTGTTTCTTATCTTTGCTCTCTGATTATTTTTTTTATCTTCTTCCATAGTTCTTAGTCTTTTCTGTGCATAGGGTACTGTTGAAGTACTGCTTGGAACTCTTGCCAACTCAGTTGCAACCTGACTCCTGATTATGCACTGCCTCTATGCTTCTGTTGGGGAATTTTGAAATCGCTTAAGAGGTCATCCTCCTTTTCTTTTCCCCTATTAGATTTTCTTCATATTCTTTTCCGAGTGTCTTATTCTGTTCTCTTGCTGGGGTCAAGCATGTGAAGCAGAGATCCTACATTTTAAGTCTAGCATTTTCTAGATTACCCTTCTTTGATTCTAGATAATTGATTTCTAATTGAAACTGTTTAAAATGTGTTCTTAATGGATTTCCAGGCTATTGTTAGCTCAGTTATTTTGTTCTTAACCCTTGAAACTCCCAAACGTGGAGCATGAGTCTGATAATTGTTGTTTTAGTCTATATCTTCTTGTTCTCTCGTTGATCTTGTGTCCAGGTAGTCTTGAAGTTCCACCTGCAACATGTAATGACCAGAGGGTTGTGTATTATCCCAGAAACAGTTGTCTTAGTTATTTTGGTAGATCTGTTCACTCTTTCTAGTATGCTTTCCAGTATACATTTTGGTTGTGCTGGCTGGTTTTTTTTTTAAGCATGCTTTAGGTTTAGACTGTGTTTGGGATTTGCGTTTTCATCTGGAAGCTCATGTTGTAACTTGTTTCCTTCTGTATTTTTTTTTTACTGCTATTGTATTTCCAAACTGGTAATGCTGTCCAGCTGTTCTGCCTCCTCTTGGCCATTATGGTTTGTTCTTTGTCCTTTAGCTTTTGTTCCCCAGACTTTTGCCGAGACTGTTTTCTTAATAGTATCTGAGCTATGAATATGCATTTTTAGTTTGTATTATTTGAGAATCAGGGCCATAGTAAGAGAGGAAAAAGAACAAGCTAAAGCTTGAGGGCACTGTCCTCTGCTGGTGCTCTGCTGTGCTTTGGGTGTGTTAGCCACTGTTGTGTCGCGGGTGGTGTCCAGCACCTAAGTTTTGCATGTTTAATCAAGCAAAGATGGAGGGAATAGACTATTTCCCAGTTAAATCTTGCTATAGAGAAATTAATTAGTATGAAAATAGTTTCTTTAAGCTTATTTATGTAGTGCTATCTCATGATTTTGCTTTTTTTTTGTGGAGCTAAAGCTGGCTGTGGCAGAACATCATTGACTTTTAGTGCCTTGTTGGTCTTTTGTAACACTGTGTTCCGGTTCTTTTCTGGACTAGGAGAGTAGCAGCCTGGAATAACCTGGGTTTCACAACCACGTAGGCTTGAGCCTTATGAACTTTTTTCATCCGTTTCAATATCTCCAGTCTCAAAATGCTGAGGATCGCTATGCGCGCTGCTGGCACATAGCAGTGTGTCATGCCTCCAAGCAACGTAACCGTATCAACTAGGCTCCGTTAACAAACTGTTTTGTGCCCACTCTGGTTTTCTTCTTACTCATTAACATTCTGTTTGAGTGGGTGATTTGGGTTTCAAGTAGGGAAGGACTGACTTTGTCACTTTTAATGTGGGGCAAGTTTTTTGTGTTCTTAAGGTTGGGATTTTTTTTGCTTGCTTAAGGTGGTTTACTGAAACTTAAAGCTTGCTTCCTTGTCACTCATGCCATCCGAATTGCCTGCCTACTTCAGGCTGGGACCCATATTTTGCTTTAAGCAAGAATTGTTACTTCTGCTTCTGATACTTTTATCTGAGGTTTCTGTTCCAGACAAGTGTTTGCAAGTGTGATCACACAGATAAAACAGTAAATTCTGTGTGTGGGAACTAACCATACTGTGGCAAGTCCTTGGAGTTTTGCGGGAGGTGGGGCTGGGGGCAAAAAAAGTAGTAGCACTGTTTCTACTTCTTTTTCCTTTCTCCCAGATCAAGCACTGCAACTAGCAGAAACTTTACTACCTCTTCAAAATCATCAGCAAGCTCTTATTCCTCAGTGTCTGCCACTTCTGTCATTACTAACGGTGATAGCAGTAACTCCTATGGACTGAGCAGCTCCCACCTGGGCAGGGGGTAAGAGCAGGACTGCTCTTTTTGTTTTTGTCCTTCATGTGAATAATCCTGTGCATCCTTGCCTGTATAGAAAAGGAGTGAGATAGTGCCCTGTGAGGAGTTCTGCTACTCTTGTGTGCCTGTTTAGCAAACTTTGCTTTTGAAACCACTGCGTTTTCTGCTATTCCTTCCTCACTTGCAAAAGTAGCACATGTTCCAGAGTTTACTAACTGCTAGGGCGTTGCCTGTTTTTGAGGCGATTGGGAGTATGAGGGAAGGGATTGCATTCTTTTCTCCATCTGCCAGTGTAGTAGAAGCCTTTCCAGGTAGAGATCATAATTTTTTTTATTAGCTCTTAGAATATATCATATGTTCTCATACAGACTCTTGCTGCATTAGGGTAGTGTGCTGTGTACTTGTAGACAGAGGAAATTGATGTGTTATGAGCCATAAATTAATAATAGATTGTGTAACGATTAACGTTTCCCAAGTTAGCACATATACTTCATGCTCCTGGTATTCAATATTAGCCACTATGAAGCAGCAGAAACATGTAGGCTGGTTAAACAATTTCAATAAACAGTGTTTTGACTCTGATTTGATGTGACTCTTAAACAGTATTGAGACTTGGTAAACTCCATTGTGGAGTTCACTGTGTTGTCTTTCTTCCAGAGGTTCTGGATTTGTCTGTAACTCTTACAACTGTAGGGACAGTGCTCCCCTCTCACAACCAGGACTCTGTGGACTCAGTAACCTTGGAAATACCTGCTTCATGAATTCTGCATTACAGGTAAGAATTGGCAAGAGCCCTCTTCAGAAATAAATAAAAGAGCAGTCTCGCAGAGATTGTGGATTAAAATCTGTGGAAAGAAAAGCATGTCTTAATGTGATTCAATGAGGAGACTGCACCTGTGACCTGGTTTCAGCCAGGACAGAGCTGTGTTTTTTTCACAGAAGCTAGGGTGAAACTGTGTTCTG